ATAGCGACCCCTCCTTGGGTTTCCAAGGCAGTTATCACTACGGAAGTAGGATTGCCCAACCTTCCTTCCGAGGAGTGGCTGGTGGGTTTGAACCGCCAGACGTCTGGTTAGCAGGCAAGTGTCTTAGCCACTATGCTACCAGAGCTCCCAGAGCTCCCAGTAAGTACCTAGTAAACACCAAAAAAAAAAAAAAAAAAAAGCGTTGTCCCTGCAATTCAGGCATATTGCCACCAGGTGGTAATATTGTTTGCTTAGTGCAAACTGTAACTTGGTGCTTGAGGAATCCAAGGAGCAAAGTGGTTATGAAACCACCTGATATTAAGCCCAGATGCTAACTAGTGTGTGACCTTGGGTAAGTCACTCCACTTCTCTGGTCTCAGTGTCCTCAGATATATAATGAGATTGATCGAGATAGCTGAGTGTTTTGCACAAGACTTGGGGCTAGGACCACAAAGGCATGACTTTACATCTCAGCCCTGTAGTCATGTACTACATGACTGATTTGGAGCATGCGATTTAATTTCTTACAGCCTGAGTAAAAAATTAGAGAATGACTGTGAACCCTGCAAGCCAGGGAGAGTCTTGAGGACAACACGTTACTCTCCAATACTGGAGACCCATGGAAGTGAGGAAGGTGCCCAGACCCCCATAGGAGTGGATAGTTGAGATTCCAGGGCCTGAGACCTTGTTGCCCCACAGAGAACTGAAATATCTCATGTTATGGATGAACAAAGCCAGCTCCTAGACACCCCTAACCTTGCTTAGCTATAACCCAATCTGGGAGAAAGGGACCAAACATTTGTGGAGCACATACGTAGGCCACTGCTGCCCTCACAACTCCTGCAAGGCCAATGTGGTCACCTCCCTTTGCGGATAAAGACACAGCCTCTGACAGGTCACTCATTCAACCAGGGTCACTCACCTCATCTGCCAGGCCTGTTGGACACCAGAGCCCCTGCTCTTTACATTACAACACCCAGAATCTCTTAAACCAGGTCCCACTTGGGAACTATATCTCCTTGTCAAGAGCATAAAAAGGGAAAGGGTTCTTCCATCATGACTCCATTTAGTCAACCACAAAGCAGGCATGGGGCCACAGGTCATGAGATCTTTCATATATGGAACCAGGAAGCCTGAGGCACTACATGCCTTTGGTCCCTCACAGAGTCAGGCTTTCACATTATGTCAAAGTCTTTACCAGCTTGGCTTACAATAGGTGCTCCATACATCCAAGTCCCCTGCCTACAACCCAGGTCCTGTGAAGGTAAAGCACATAGGATTAAACAGTATCTCATCCCAGCCTTCTGCTTTGGTAAATGTTCCCTGCTTCTCAAGGATGCTCTTTAACCCTTGGGACCTACCCTCTATCCTCCAGACAGCCCTCTTCCCAGCTAATGCCTCAATACACAAATTCAGACCTAAACAACAGAATTTACTAACCATGGTATGATGATGTAAATGTAACATACACTTCGGATCTTACCACTCCCCAGCTCTAACTCTTTTCATGACTCCCCACTGCCCCTGCACTTGAGGTACAGGTCCTAAGCTGTCACTCAGAGGGCCCTCTTGATCTGCCCCTGCTGGCTTGTCCCCCATCCCTTATAACCAGTGTTCCAGGCACACATAGGCCTGCATGCAGATCCTCACACACCATGCTCACTCATCTCTGAGCTTTTGCACATGATGTCCCTTCTGTCTGGAATGTCCTACAATGTCCTATAATGTCTACCTGAGACAAGCGTCCCACTCCCACCCCAGCATGCCTCCTCTGGGGAGCTATGGGGTACTCCTGGGTTGGGTAGGACTCTTCTTCTGGGCCCCCAGAGTCCCTGGGTTCCTTCCACTCTAATTGTGACTCCAGGAGCCCCAAAGGGGCCTGCCTTATTTCCTTCCGGTCCCCATCGCCCACACACAGTAGATACTTGGTGAATTTTGGCTGAGAAATGCGATCACTGGGGGCTTCTCTGAGCCACCTGGCTCAGGTCTGGTTTCCAGTCCCAGCCCCAGAGTACAGCCATGCCACTCAGCGGACTCTGACTCCGATTCCTTTAAGGCTGACCCACAAGCTCCCTCTTTGCAAACAGCTTCATTTGTCAGTGGCTTGAGCTGCTGCCATACCCCCTCACATCCACCATGCTCAGCTGTTCTTTCTTGTGCTCCTTACTTACGTTCCTGTCTGCACATCTCTGCTCAGGCTGAACCCTCCACCTGGAACCCCTCTGCCTCCCACCCCCAAAATACCATTGACTCTTCAAGACCCACCTTAAATGCCACATCTACTGCAAGGCCTTCCTAGTCTTCTGTCCACACTTTGTCTGCTTCACTCTCATGGCTTTGATCCCATTTTGCCTCATGTTACAGTTATTGGCAGGAATCCCTAGGTGGTTCACACAGTTAAGCTTTCAACTACTAGCCAAAAGGTTGGTGGTTCAAACCCACCCTGAGGTATCTTGGAAGACAGGCCGAGGGATCTGCTTTCAAATGGTCACAGCTTTGAAGACCTATGGAGCTCTACACCCATGAAGTCACCATGAGTCAGAATCTACTTGACAGCAACTAACAGCAACAACATAATTGCTGGTAACCCAGCATGGTGAAGGGAGCAGGGTTTGAGTCCCACTTTGACATATACAAGCTATGTGATCTTGGGCAAGTCAGTTTACCTCTCTAAGCCTCAATAAGCTTGTCTGTGAAATAGGGACAACTCCTACTTTGTAAAGGACTGCTGGTGACGTAGTGCCTAAGGTATTTGACTTTTAACCAGAAGGTTGGTGGTTCAAACCCACTAGCCACTCCACGGAAGGAAGATTGGGCAATCTACTTTCATAAAGATTTACAACCTCAGAAATCCAGTGAAGGTCACTATGAGTCAGAATTGACTCGCTGGCAGTGGGTTTGGTTTGTTGTGAGATTAAGTGAGATGATAGATGTTAAGATCCTGGCACATGGCAGGTATTTGGTCAGGTCTTACTACTTAAGCCTGGGATCTGTTTCTCCAGCCAGGTTAGGAGCTAGTTTGGGTCAGGGTGCAGGTCCTATTTATTGCCATATCCCCACAGCACCCAGCACGGGCACAGGGTCTCACACAATAGATAGTAATGCTGGCGGAACTGAATCCATTCACCCTGACTGGTGGGGGTGGGGTGGGGGTGAAGGGATGGGGTTCCTGAGCTGAGGAGGCCATGGTGGGGGCTGGGGGTGAGTACAGAATTGAGCCTGGAGATTAACGACAGGAGATGAATGCGGAGGGAGGGGCTGGGAGTCCGAGGCAGAGCTGCTGATATGCACTGGGGGTTTTATTGGTTTTCATTAAAATTCCTTCCCGAGGCAGGAGCAGCTACTCCCATAAATAACGGCATAAATATTTTATCTGGTGCCCAAGTCAGTCTAAATGCACGGCAAGGTTGGCAAGAATAATAACGGGAAAACAGTTCAGGGGGGTCCGGGGCTTCAGCTGAACTGGACTCTCTTCACATGCCCAAAGGGGCTTTCTCAGAAAGGCAGAGGCTGAGGGAGGGAAGAGGCAGGTAGACTGCATGGAGGAGAGACGGTGGCCAGTGCAGTGGGTGGCAGGGGTCAGGGGAGGGTGTCTAGAGCACAGGGGGGCAGCTATGTGGAGGGGGAGTTTAGCTTGGACAGCAGGACAGGAGGTAAGGAACTTGGGTGGGGGTGCAGAGAGGATATGTACTTCACACCTGCTCTGTGATGGGTGCCCTGCTTGGAGTTTTCACACTGGTTATCTCCCCAAATCCTCTGTGGCCAGAGAAGTGAAGTCACTTGCCCAAGGTCACCCAGCCAGAGATCCAGGACTATAATCAAGGGTGCTTAAGGCCAAGGCCCGTGCCCTCCCAGCTGTCCTTGCTATCTCTTGGAATTCAGGGACAGCGTGGGAACCTTCCCAATATGGCTTGAATACCTTAATAACAGCAGCTCGGTGGTTCTCTGCTTCCTTAGGTCCCAGTAGAGGAGAAAAGGGGCTGGTACTTGACCATGGCAACACTCTTCATCAGGTCAGGTCAGGTGCTGGTGGGTGGGGCCTGGGGGGGGGCGCAGTGCTGCCTGCAGTCTTGGCCTGGAACCCAGGCTGGAGGGTGAGGGGAAGGGTGCCTGAGCTGGTCGCCATGGCAAGGGCTTCCCAAAGTCCCCTCCTTGCTTCCTTAAGACCCCTTTCCCCATCACCCCAGCTCTGGCCTGGGGAGGGGCTCACAGCAGGCTGGGACAACTGGGAGAGGGTGCAGACCAGCCACATGCTCTTCTTGGCTCCAGGCTAGATGGCATCTCCCTGGAGCTGAGCAGTGAGGAGCAAAAGCGGCTGCCTGCCTTCAACCGCACGCTGGCTCTGCTCCGGCAAGTACTCAAGTCTTCGGACCCCTACCACCAAGGTAGGCTTCTACCTCCGTCTCCCTATACCTGTCACTACCCTGCTGTCCCCACCTCCAGCATTGTCTCCCTTTTTGGACCTTATTTCTCTTTCTCCTTCACCCTGTCTCATATTCATTCGCTCACCCCAAGGAACTCACACACATTGAACAAGTGAATATACCGCGTGTAAATCATTACAGTTACATGTTTCCAGGTATGTGTCTCATGACCCCCATTCTATGGTTGGTCAACTGGAGGCTCTGTTGGAGAAGAGCTGAGGAATTTTTTCACAGGGGCCCCACAACTACAACAGTGACTAGAACTACCAGAGCTGGTGAGGACTTGAAGTTAGAAGAGGCAACTATGTGCCTTAAATGAGGTCACCTGGGTGATCTATTAATCACAGAGAAGCACTAAAAATGTGTTCATTCATTCATTCATTCACATGTCCCCTCTGCCCACCTCTGTCTCTTTCTGCTCCTGGGCCACCCTCAGTGATTTCATGTTACCATCCTTTCCTTTAAGGAACCCTGGTGGCACAATGGTTAAGCACTTGGCTGCTAACTAAAAGGTCAGCAGTTCGAACCCACTAGCCACTCCATGGGAGAAAGATATGGCAATCTGCTTCTGTAAAGATTTATAACCTTGGAAACCCTATAAGGCAGTTCTACTCTGTCCTATAGGGTTTTTATGAGTCAGAATTGACTTGACAGCAGAGGGGTTGGTTCTTTTATTTTTTTTTTAGCATCCCTTCCTCTGTCTTCATGGAGACTAACAGCCTTGAGTAGAGCTGGCCCACTCTGCTTGTGGCTCCCCTCCCTCTTACCCTGCTGCTTCCTTAAGACCCCTTTCCCCATCACCCCAGCTCTGGCCTGGTGCTACCTTGGGATGCTGCTGGAGAGAAAGGACACCTTCTCCACCACGCCCATGGGAGTCCACGACTGTGGGTACTCAGGGACTGATCCCCTGGATTGTTTCGGCAAGGTACATGCCCCCAACCACACCCACTCTCCTAAGTGGGAAGAAGCCTGACACCTGGCCTTCCTTCCCAGAGCCTCTGCTTCTCTGCTGTCTTCCTCATGCTGTGCCTCCCCCAACAAGAAAGGACTCCAGACCTTTCTCTCCATCCTTTCTTCACTCAGAAGAATGTCATGAGTCCTCTTGGCCTAAGAATAAGACCCTCCCCACTCCCAATTCAGCCTATGCCCATTTCTCTGACCTCCTTGTCTAAGCTGCTTGCCATTTTCAAAATATGCCCTTAGACTTTCTCCCCTCAGGCCTTTGTCCACATTGTTCCTTCAGCAATGAGTCCCCTCCCTTCCCCGCTACTAATGGCATGGTGGAAATAAGGCAGGGTTAGCTGGAGTCCCATTGCCAGCTCTGCCCAATTATAGTATGAGTGACTTTAGGCTTAGGTCTCTGAGCCTTGGTTTTCTCATCAGTTCATTAGTGTTCTATCTACGTTGTAGGTTGTTGAGAGATTCAAAGTAGGTAGTAGATGAAACTGGACACTGTACATTATAAAGCACCGTCCAAGTCTTATTCCTGGAACCTCATTTATGTGGCAGATTCCACACTTAGCTCAGTTTTGAAGTCTTTCCTGGAAGCCAAGGACCTCACCATCCTCACTCATCTGAGTGTTCACTGCAGTGCCCTGCATGGGGCACGTCCCTCAGTGTTTGCTGGCGGGTAGATTAATGAGCAGTTTCTTGATGAAAGAGCTTAGATTAGAGCAGACCAAAACATGTTCTGGTTCATGAGTGTTCTCAGGTTTGTGTCCTATTTAACAAGCCCACTTCCTTTGCCCCTCCTGGAAAACTACTTTGTGCCAGAGCACAGAGAGGAATGACAGGGCCCCTGCCCTGCAGGACTTCACTTCACAGAGGCGGCAACACACAGAACAGGCAGCAGCCCATAACAGTCTAGGTGACAAGTGTGTGGGCCAGGTAGGAGCACGGTGCTGCCTAAGTATGGGAGAGGTAGAGAGGGTTCTGACCTCCTCCTCCCCCCTGTCCTGGAGAAAATGGAGGTGCACACAGTGGTTTCCCTAGGGTCTAATGGGATTGGCTGGAAATGATCAGTGAGCCTAGTAGAGAGCATAGCAGTGAATGGGACTCCAGGGGTTGAGTGCTACTATGTTGGTACCCCCAAGTGCTGGGTTCCATGATGTGTCTGTACTTACCGGCAGGTGGATAAGGGGGAGAAGGGCATTGCAGTAATATAGCTCCATCCAGAGATGGGGTTCCTGTAGGTCAGGCACTATTTAGCTGGTTCTGGCTAACCACCAGACAAATAGTTTGCACTAACTCTCTTCCCTTACCTAGGCCATTGAGATTGCCAAGGACCACCCTCCCATCCTGAATCGCCTGGCCAAAATCTTCCACTTCCTAGGAAAGCAGGATATGGCTATTGGAACCTGCAACATGGCACTGGATGTCCTACGAGATCCAGAGCTCAACTGGCAGGCATACTGCACAAGGGCCAAGGTACCAAGGGGTGGGCGGGTGAATTGACCTGCAGTCCCGCCTCATCCTGACATCAGAAATCAGAGAACAAGGGCCAGGGGCCAAGCCCCAGTTTCCAAGGCCTAAAGTTCATGGAACCTTCATGGTGGAAGGGAACTTTGGAGTCATCAGGCACATGGTTTGTGTTCTAGAAGGCTTTTGAATGGAAGGGTCTCCATCCCACTGCAGAAAACTCTCAACAATACCCTGATTAATGACCCTCCAGCCTCTGCATGATTAGCACCTCCTGGATTCAGACTGATCTGGGTTGAAATCTGGCCCTTATTTATTACTGTGGGACTTGTGGTAAGTCACTTACCCTCCCAGCCTCAGTTCCCAAATCTATAAGATATGGATAATAACACCTATTTTAAAAGGTTGTCAGAAATAACATCAATAACACAGTTTCTGGAGCAGAGGTGCTTTTGAAAGGTAGTAAGGAACTTGGTGGTGCAGCCATTAAGCTTGCAGCTGTTAATTGAAAGGTCAACAGTTCAAACCCACCCAATGGTGAGAAAAAGACCTGGTGTTCTGCTTCTGTAAAGATTTCAAAAAAAGAAAAAAGCCAAACTCATCGCCATCAAGTCAGTTCTGACTCATAGCAACCCCCAGTGGGTTTTCAAGGCTGCGATTCTTTGCAGAAGAAAGATGCAGAGCGGCTGGTGGGTTCGAACCACCAACCTTTTGGTTAGCAGCCAAACACCTTAGCTACTATACCACCAGAGCTCCTTCTATAAAGATTACACCCTAGAAAACCCTATGGTGCAGTTCTACTCTGTTGCATGATGTTGCTATGGGTAGGAATCTGCTTGACAACATCACACAACAACAATATGGTGTGTGAGAGGCAGTTTAAGGTAGTAAATCAGAGCTCTAGCTCTGAACACAGCCAGCCTTAGTTCAAATCCCACTTTGCCACTTACATGCTGTGGAACCTTAGGCAAAATACTCTTGCCCAAATCCTGAGCTTCAGTTTCTCCATCTATAGAATAGAGATGATAGTATGTACCTCACAGAGTTGCTATAAGAATGCAATTAAATATTGTATGTAAACTTCAGCCCCTAGTAAGATGCAATTACACAAGTGATTGCTATCATCAGGCATATTTTTTAACTGACTCACTCTTGAGGCATATAAGTCATTCAGCTCTGCAAGTCACCAACGTAGCTGAGAGCTGCCACCCTCTAGCTTCCCCCACAAGTCCCAGCTCTGCCCTCTGGCATACTCACAGAGCCCAACTGCTCAAAGACCCCAGACTGACTTGGCTTCAGGCTAAACAGCTCCCCTGTCTTTTCCATTACCTTTCATAGAACCTGGAGGACAATCTGCTCCCCATCTTGGTGTCTATGACATAACCACTTTGCCAGCAGGCAGAAGCCAGGGAATCCCTTCATTGTAGTTGATGAGGTTGTTATTATTATCAATAATCATCCCAGTAAATAATAAACCATTTCTGTAACACTGCCTTCACTGTCTACTTTCATGTTCATGGTTTTATTTAATCCTCACAAGAATCCCATGGGAGAGGCCAGACATGTCCTTCTACAAAGGAAGCAACATAAGCTCAGAGAGGCGGCCAACTTACCCAAGGTCTTGCGTTCAATTAAATTAAAATTCAACTCAAATTGAAATTCACCTGCAATTCCATTTAACACAACCCTACTCTTCTGACTCTATCATTGACTTCAGTCGTCCCAGCATGCTTGCTACCTCTCTGTAACTCCTGAGGTCACACTTCCCACTCAGACAACCAGCCTAGTAGCAGTCTGAGGGAAGCGAGTGGACAGGAGGAAAGAACAGAAGGGAAGGGAACCCCCATTACCTTCATTAAAGCCTCAGTCCATGCTGTGACCCATAGGCCCCAAAGACCTCTCCAACCTCATCTCCCTCTGTCCTCCCTCCCTCCCTCTTCTAGCCACACTGGCCCCCTTTCTGCCCCTTAATCTGTAAGACAGGATCTTGCCTCAAGGCCTGTTCTCAAAAGTATCTGATTGGCTTCCTCCCTCACTTCTATAGGTCGTGACACAGAAGGCAGCTTCTAGTGGCCATCTTAGGAGCTCTGGTAGCATAGTACCTAAGGCAATTGACTGCTAACCAGAAGGCTGGTGGTTCAAACCCACCAGCCACTCCTCGGAAGGAAGGTTGGGCAATCTACTTCCGTAGTGATACTGCCTCGGAAACCCAAGGAGGGGACACTGTGAGTCAGATTTGACTCCATGGCAGTGGTTGCATTTTTCATATGGTGGTGGTGGTGGTAGCTGCTGACTCCTGGGGCCCTTACGTAGAACAGAGTGAACAGCCCTGCCCCATCCTCATGACCTCTGGTGTGTTTGAGTCCATTGCTGTGGCTAGTGTGTCAACCCGTCTCATTGAGGGTTTCCATTCTCACAAACTTGGTAGTACCATCCTATCTAATATAACTCTCTCTCCCAGGCACCTCTATTTCATTACCTTATTTATTTTCATAGCACTTATCACCACTTGAAGTGACATTATTTACTTGTTGTTTATGATTGTCTCTCCTACTAAAATGTTAAGCTTTACCAGGACAGAGACTTCATCTGTCTGTCTTGTTGCCTTTGCCATAGAGTGAGCACTCGATACATAATTGTTGAATGGACGGTGAATAAATGAAGGGCTCTTACTTTGTTAATTTTTGCATTGTACATATGGGAAACTGAGGCCCAGAGAGGGGACTGACTAGTCCAAGCTGACACAGACTAAGACCTAGGACTCGTGGCTCCCAGTGTTGGGGGCTTTTTGCGGTACCACAAAGGCTTCCCTGAGTTGCCGTTGAGAAAAAGATTTGTTTCAACTAAGGCAAAAAGGAGGGTGGTGGTCCTTGCTTGGAAAACCTTCCCTGAGTTGACTCTCTGTTGACAGATCCACATCAAAGCCTACCTGCATGACCTGGAGCGGGCCAAGGTGGGGCTCGGGGGCATGCCTGACAGGAACCACCTGGCCTGCGCCAAGGCTGACCTTGAGGAAGTGGTCAAGGTGTGTCCAGGCCTCAAGACCTACCTGGACATCGGCCAGGTAAGGCAGCCTCTTAGCTTGGTTATTCAGTGGCTAACTCAAGAATGTATGCCATGCCAGGCCAGGCCTCCCCACTGAAGACAAAAAGAAATAAGGCACTTCCCCCTGCCTCATAACAGTCAGACTCATAGCAACCCCTCCTTGTGTTTCCGAGGCAGTATCACTACGGAAGTAGATTGCCCAACCTTCCTTCTGAGGAGTGGCTGGTGGGGTTACAACCATGGTGAGGATTAAATGAGATGGTGGATGGATACCATTTAGAACAGGGCCTGGTACTTGCTACTCATTCAGTAAGTATGCACTCAGTAAGAAGCACCTTCTGTGACAATAACAGTTTTACTATGAGAAAACATCCAGAGATTGACTTGCCAAGGTTATATGGCTAGGAGTGGAAGGGTTGGAACTGGAATCTGAGTACCGTCTCTCCTTTTCCATTATAGGATCCTAGGAGTGGGGAGGGGACAAAATTTGTGATTAATAATTGTCCAAGGTGGAAGGGTGGGAAGGATGAATGAATGAAGTATGGGAACAGCCTGGGAAGAGAGAGCAGCAGCCTGGCAGAGACGAAGGCTCAGGCTGCCTCCACCCACTGCAGGTGTACTACTACATGGGCGTGGACGCAGTGCAGGAGTTGATGGCTGTGGATGAGGCTGCGCTGAACCAGGCCCTAGTCTTCCTGGCCAAGGCCAGCGAGTCAGAGTTGGGCGCGACTTTGCCAGAGCTGCAGCTGCTTCGAGGCAAGTGCCTACGCATTAAGGGCGAGGAAGCCAACGCAGCGGCCTGCTTCAAACGCGCTGTGGAGCTGGACGACGCGGGCTCCAGTCACACCGACGGTTTCGGCTGTCTGCTTGAGGCGCTGCTGGCGCAGTGGAGCCAGGCGCAGCTGAGCGATGGCGAGCTGGGCCGCGAGGTGGATGCGTGGCTGCTCCGTGCTCAGCGCAAGTACCCAGCGGCGCGCCTTCGCCAGGAGCTGCAGCGCGTGTGGCGCGGCAACACCGACGAGGTGTTGGGGCTGGCCCGAGCAATGGTGACTCAGGGCCGGCTGGCGCTGGTGCGGCTGCTCTTTGAGACCATGGAGCTTGAAAGGGAGGGCGCAGGCGAGGGCGCTGCGCGGGGCCACCGGGCACTCTTATTCTGAGGAATCTGCGCCCTAGCCTCAGTTGATTGGACCAGGACTGGGTGTTCAGCTAGACTGCCCTGAGCTATATGCTCTAAGGGGGAGCAGAGCCAAACAGATTCTCTCTCAGGAATTTTGAATGGGGATATTGAGACGCTGGGGCTATTTGAATTGCCCATGGAGGAGGAAGGACCTGATTTAGAAAAGCCAGAGAGGCTGGGGTGGATAAGAGTCCAGGGGGAAACTGCCACTTGAGGGACAGAAATTGGCAAACATGCAGAGGAAATAAAATGGCTGCAGTGAGAAACAGAAGACAGCTGCTTCAACTGTGGTGGTTTTCTAGTTCCTGTACTGGATCCCTGGGGCCTGAGTGTTTGTCTTTGCATTCCCACCAGCCACACTCTATCCTTATAATAAACTCATGTTTACTTAAGTTGGTGGTCCCTGGGTGGTGCAACTGGTTTGCCATTGGCTACTCACCTAAAGGTTGGCTGCTTGAACCCACCCAAAGGTACTGGAGAAGAAAGACCTGGAGATCTGCTTCTATAAGTATTACATCCAAGCATATGCTATGGAATAATTCTGCTCTCTAATACATGGGGTCACTGTGATTTGGTTGGTTGTTTGCTTATTTTTGGCTAAATGCCAAGCATAGTGCCAAGCTCTGGGCTACAGACAGAGAAAAAAATAGGCCCTGACCTCACCTTCAGAGAGCTCACAATCTAAGCCATGTGGAATAGGTTAGGCAGGGCCTGTGGGCCATAGCAGGGGCATTTGAAGACCAATGGGGAGCTATCGAAAGGTTTTAGCTGGCAAAGCAGGCTGCCTCTGTGCTCCACACCAGCCAGACTCATCCTGTGTTAATGGCCTTTCCACAGCCCACGGGGAAGAGAGCCTGGCTAGCCCTAGGGCATAGGCTCTGGCCCTTGGCCACCTCTATGCAGCGAACCAATTGCCCAGACCAGGCCAGGCAGTCTCCCGGGACTGAGACTCCAGCTGGTAGGGAGAAGCCAGTGGGTGGGTGATCTTTATTTAATTACAGCTTTGAGCCCTGTGTGACACCATCGCCCACTGGGCTGCTGAGAGGACAACTGTCATGCAGCTGAAGCAAGTAGGAGTTCCTCGGGGGAGCACTCCAGAGTGAAAGCCTTAATAACCCCATAATCAGAGTAATGAAGATGAATCACACTTTGTGCTGCCTGCCTGGGCCTTCCTCCATGCCTAGCACCCAACATCAGGCAGCCAGAACCTGCCATTTAGCCAGAATGAGCAAGACACATTAAACATCATGAAAACAGTCAAATTTCTCAGCTAAAGGTGTCTGAGGAGCTCTGGTAGTGTAGTACCTAAGACACTTGACTGCTAACGAGATGACTGGGGGTTCAAACCCATCAGCCACTCCTTGGAAGGAAGGTTGGGCTATCTATTTCTGTAGTGATACTGCCTTAGAAACCAAGGAGGGGTCGCTATGAGTGGGGTCCAACTCGACAGCACATAACAACAACAGCAACAAAGGTGTCTGGGATCTCAGAGTTGGAAAGAACCTTCGTCCTCCTCCAGCCTCCCCATCTAGAGAAATGAGTGTGCTGAAAGGCACTGTTAAACCACTTGCATGCTCCTAGCAGACAGGCAGCTCACTTACTATCTGATGAAAGAATCAATTCATTTTTTGTTTCAATACTTTGTTGTGGTTTAGGTGAAAGTTTACAGAGCAAATTAGTTTCCCATTGAGCAACTTACACACAAATTGTTCTGTGGCATTGGTTGCAATCACCACGATGTGTCAACATTCTCCCCATTTCTACCTTGGGTTCCCTGTTTCTGTTCACCCAGTTTTCCTGCCCCTTCTTGCCTTAACTTTGCTTTCGGACAAATGCTGCCCTTCTGATGGAAACAATCCATTTGTGAAAAGATCTAAGGTCCCTGGGTGATGCAAGTGGTTTGTGATTGGCTGCTCAAGCCAAGGTTGGCAGTTCAAACCCACCCAGCAATGCCATGGAAGAAAGGCCTGGTGAGCTGCTTCCATGAAGATTACAGCCAAGAAAATGCTATGGAGCAGTTCTACCCTCTAGCACGTGGGGTCACCATGAGTTGCAATCAATTCAATGCCAATGGGTTCGTTTTTGTTTTGTTTTGTAAGTCTTCTGAGTTGGTCCTTCTGTTGAATTGAAATCTTCTTTCCTAGAATTCCCATCCCCTGATTCAAGCTCTCCTTCTGGAGCCACATAGAACAAATCTTAATAAGCAGGGTGGCCTTGAACAAGGCATTTTCCTCTGGCCTCTGTTCCCGCTTTCTGTTCTGGCACCAGCATCCAGGTTGGGCTCTGACAGGGCCTCCAGCTGCCATGCCCAGCCTAGAGCCAGCACAGAGTTGGTGCTAGCAGCTGAAAGCAAAATAGAACAGGGCTTCTCCCCATCCCTAATCAGGCCCCAAGGAGCACCCTGTGTGGATGGTGGTGGCTGAATGCCAAATGAAGTGAAATATCTCCTTTTCTCAGGCTGTTAACTTTTTTTCTTGTTTAAGGAATGGGAGGATAATGACATTGAGCACTTTACAACTCAGTAGTAAAATGAGCAGATGGAAACAGATCCCAGGCATCCTGGGCGTGCTTCACAGCGAGAAGTCCTCCCCAGCTCCATGGGGTCAAAGTCACTGGCAGGGCTTGCTGGTGGGGTTAGAGACCAGCCATCTTTCCTCCTCCTCCCCCAGATTCTCCCCCACTGCACGCTGCATACCTGACCCCCCACCTGTCCCACTTTCCCACTTCCTTGCTTCTGCTCACCTTGCTCCACCTGCCTAGAGAACTCTTCCTACTCCCAGGTCCTATTGGGATACAACCCAATTAACATGCTTGGCTGCTCACCAAAAGGTTGGAGGTTCTAGTCTACTCAGAGGCATCTTGGAAGAAAGACTTGGTGATCTACTTCAGAAAAATCAGCCACTGAAAACTCTGGGGAGCACAGTTCTGCTCTGACACACATGGGCCTCCATGAGCAGAATCGACTCAAGGGCAACTAGTTAAGGGTTTAGATGAGGATAAAAGGGGAATGGGGGGGTAGTTCTTGGTAAGAAAGTGGCGAGCAAAGACTAGAGCTATGGGAAGGCATCAGCTGGCCACCAGGTGACTAGTGAAGAACCATTTGAGCAGGAAAGGTTCCCACAGTGAGGTCATAGAAAATCACTGTCATTGTCATCACCATCAAAACTATTTACTGAGCACTTGGGCTGTCATGCATTTGCCACTGTGGTCCGTGCCCGCCATGCCTCATCCCATTTAACAAACCCACGAGCATGCATCAGCATCACCTCCACTTTACAGATGAGGAAATGGAGACTCAGGGAGGTTAAAGAACTTCCCTGATGCCCCACACATGGCCTTGAATGGCAGACAGGCTAAGGATAATAACAAATGACTTTTTAACTATTTGGAGTTTAGATTACTTTCTCTTCTATCATATTTGTTGCTCTATAAACTGAACACTTATAAAATCTGTATGGATTTTTCATGTTTATGTTTTCAAATCACTCAATAACTCTGTGGTGGGGCTTGTTCTGTTTTGGCATGTAAATTGTTTCATTAAACTGCAGTTGCTCTGCGAGTTATATTTGTCACCCACAAAGTAAAAGAAATAAAAGAACTCCAGCTGTGGTGGAGATCTATTGTTTTATCCATCCACTGCCCCTCGCTGCTGAGAATAGCATACCCAGTCTGTTCTGGTTACCTCTGCGCCGCTCTGACACGAATATACCACAAATGGGGGATGGCTTGAACAAACAGGAGTTTATTCTCTTACAGTTCGGAGGCTTTAAGTCTGAGTTCAAAGTGCCAGGCTCTAGGGGCTGGGTGAAAGCCCCTCAACCTTGGCTTCAGCTCTGCCTCTTGCTCCCAGTGCACTGGAGCTAGAGGCTTTTCCTCACTCAGACAGCTGCTGGCTGCTGAGACAGACAAGACCAAGATTGACAAGTAAAAAGGCACAGTCCCGATGTTACCAAACCACATGGCAGGCCATTGATTCAAGTCCATTGAAAGTCCCAAGGTCAGCAGAGCATGGCAGGCTGCTGAACAATGACACAGCTGCATGCAGGGTTCGAGTGTGCCATAAGCTAGAGACCACTCCCCAAGGCTTCTCCTTATATACGGGAAGCAGACCACATCCCTAAGGCAACTACTCAGCTGCTCACAGTAGATTCCACCATGGAGTTGATTACCAGTCTCATCCTGGGGAATAACTACATTCAGCTGCCGAGCCACTCAACCAGGCTCAGCCAAGTTGACACACAAACTTTACCACCACATGGTCTTTATGAGGTAGGAGTCTCTGAACGATGCAAATAGTTAAACACTTGCTCAGCTACTACCACCCAGTGGCACCTTGGAAGAAAAGCCTGGCAATCTACTTCCAAAAGATGACATCATGGAAAAGCCTGTGGAACATAGTTCATGTTGACACACATGAGATCACCTTGAGTTGGAATCAACTTGACAGCAACCAGTTTGTTTTGTTTTCTTTGCGAGAACAAAAGTGTTCCTTCTCTCACACCAAGTGGTCATTTGAGGGCTGCCAATCACCATATCCTGCCTCTCTGATCACAAGAGTAAACATTGGACCCAATATGGGCCAATCAGAGACATTCCTAGAGAGTTTTGGGATTGGGTCCAAGGGAAAGAAAATATTCTTTGCCTCTCTGCTGGCATAGCTATTAGCAATCATATCAGTTAGGAGTAGGTTTAGCTATGAGCATCAACCAAAAAACAAAACCCACTGCCATTGAGTCTATTCTGACACATAGCAACCCCCATAGGATTCCAAGGCTGTAAATCTTTATGGAAGCAGACTGTCTCATCTTCTCTTGCAGAGAGGCTGGTGGGTTCAAACCACTAATCTTTTGGTTAGCAGTGGAATGCTTCAATGACTACACCATCAGAGCTCGTTATGAATATCCAAGACATGGAAAATAGTGTCTTAAACAAGGTGGAGGTTTAATTATCGTGCAAAGCCAGCTCAAACATCACTTCAGT